CTTGTTCCTTCTAATTTGAATATTTACATTTAAATAAAAATAATGTTAGTGTAACTGTAGACGATATAAAAATAATTTAATATACTTAAAATAACTTTAAACAGTTAATAATCCCATCTCACCTTTGACATCTACATAAAAGTGAGCTCTTGCACTTTGACTTTGGTTATTCCGAGCAACACAAGTATATGTGCCTTCATCTTCTTTTTCATCAAGGTTTCCAATTTCCAAGGTTCCATTATTATATACTTTTTGTCTATGGTTGAAAGGTAAACGCTGGCTGTCTGGCAACATTGTATAAGATGGTAAAAGTTTGTGTATTTTAAATGTATTCTTATCATTATCCATGAAAGTTATTTTACATAAATTGTGTTAGGTTTTATTTCTTCATATTAATGCAGTTTTTTGCATCTCATATATAAAGACAGTTTAACATTTTATGGATTACAAAAATAAAATCACATCTCCAAGGCTAATAAAGTTAAAAATATGCAATGCAAGGAATTTTCTTGAATAAATCAAAAACAAGTTCTGGAAGACTAAGCAAATTAAAAGAGAAAGTAACTGAAATATTTATGGGAGTCTTTTCATATGTGTTTTTCAGATACACAGTTTCTGATCTACAGATATAAGTGAATGAAAAATACTACAAAGCACATCTGATTATTATAATATTTCTATGCTACACGCAGTGAAAGAACATATAGCAATGCTCACAAAGATATTTAGCTATTTACCGAATAGAAACAAGCTAAAGCTGAAACAAGAATGTTATGGACAACTTATAATACTGAAAATACTAAACAGCACTGAATAAGCATGTTAAATTTTATTCTACAAGTACCTTTTTCCCAGTGAATGAAATCAATAGGATATCCAATAACATGGCAGTGAGTTCTCATTGTTTCTTTAGCAACAACTGTAATATTTTTTAATGGACGAACAAATGGCAAGCCATAAACATCAATTCTATTGCTGTATGTTGCTGTTCCTGCTACACTTTGTGCTAAACATTCATAAACTCCCCCATCTTCAACTCTGACACTTGAAATGTTGACAAAACTCACAATTCCTCCATTCAAATTAACAAAATCTGCAACAGTTACTCTTCCAGTTTGAATGACTGGTGCTTTATCTAGACACCAAGATATTTGGGGTTTAGGTGTTCCTTTTGCTACACATTTCAAATATACAGAGAGTCCTGGTTGTAAAAGTTTCTTGGAAAATGTTTCAACAAGTTCTGGAACAGCATCTACAAAATGAAGACTACAACTGAAGTATATATATAGGCAAAATGAATTTCAACTCTAATAAAAAATTTTACAAAAAGAACTTGCATGCATATTTTTTTTATGAAACAATGATTAACCTTATAAATGCATTCAAATTAAAGTCACTCCATATTTTTATTTTATTATTTTCATTTTCAAGAACATGTTAGAGTTTTCTGTGCCAACTGTAATGATAGTGTTACTTCTAATCCTAAATAACAATGCACTGTTATAAGATTATTATAAGATTTCAGAACATACATATGCCTTTCATAAAGAAAATACAAAAACTTTCACATATAGCAGAAAACTGATCAGTTAGATTATACTTGAATAAGAATAGAAAATGAACATTTATGAAAAGAATGCACATTAAATGACACATAGCAATTACACTTATCAAGAATTTTTGTAACAAAAATAAGATTAAATTGTACATTTAATTGGGTTTTAACTTTTACAGTATCTGTGACCCAGTTTATAAAACTGGCTATTCATGTATGTAACTTACATCCCAATTTAAGCTCTGAAGATGCCTGCACACTTCCTATGCTGTTTTCTGCAAAACACTGGTACATTCCTTGATCATCTTTACTAATATTCTGAACTGTGAGCACAAACTTTGAAGAACTTATAAACCACTTCTGATTAACTACTCCATTTTTCAACCAGGTGATGTTAGTAACTGGATAACCTGTGACTGAACAGTTAAAGGCTGCTTTTGCTCCAACATCAACAGTTTGACTTTCTGGTGAAATTGTGACACCAAGTGGTGCTAAAATGCAATGTTATAAATCACATCAAAATTATGATGAAATCAAAATGCTAACAATGTTTTAACATAAATAATAATATACATTAAATCTATCACTGCTATTTTTAGAGATAAACAGTTCTCCCGGTACGGGTTTATTTTTGAATACACAATAAAAGCCATGTCTTAATATCACACTATTAAATGTCAGAACAAAAATTACATAATGTGTCCCATATATGTGCCGATGGAAGTGAGAGAGTTGAGTTGTCTAATAGGTTTGCTTAAGTATCATCAAATTCAACTGAATTTCCATTACGCCCTTTGGTTATAAATTACAGAAAGAAATTACCAATTAATTGAATAACAATAACTTGTAGTTGTACTCGAAGACAAGCAACTACAGTCTTAGCACAGAAGTGTTGTTGTTACATTTAGCTGTGCTGCAAATGACCTAGATGCACAAACTGTTGGCTGTAAGTTAACTAAAGCATATGTATACCATAAATACTTGACTTTGTATTTAAATATTAATTGGTATGTTGCTTTGATTCATTGTTTTGGTTTTGGTGGGATGAGCTAACAGGCGTAAAAGCCCTCTGTCACTTCCATCCTTCATATGTT